CCTCATCATATAATCATATATAATCCATCGGTACCTCTCTTTACATCCCAAAATCTGGGGTATGTATAGCATGGCCTCATGGAGTCGTAAGATGTCGAGATGTGAAATCAAAAAAAAGGGTGATCCTTTGTGTTGCCCCCAACATTGCTGAGAATCTTGAATTCTGCTAACGTTCCACTTGATGGGGAAATATATGGATGAGCCAAATGATCTTGGGGATTGAACCAAATCAAGATTCTCAATCAAGCTCGATTTTTGAAAAGAAAGCTAGTATTAAGATGTATATCATTTAATAAATATATATATATATATACCATCTGGTTATTTAACATAGCCATGGAAAATGGCCCATTTATAGATGGTGTACCTATTAAAAATGGTGGATCTTTCCATGGCTATGTTAGTCATAACCAGAGGGTATATACTATGTTATACTGTACTCAGTATCCCCATGTGGGTATGGGTCAAAATTAGGTACCCCAATAATTGGATGGTCAATACTAAACTAGACTAACATCTGTGGTCCCCTAGGTCTTCCATTTTGACCCACATCCATGTATCTCCAAATCAGTTTGCTTCCCATGTTTCTCCTTCGGCATCGAGCCCAGATCTCGGAAGGCCGCCAGGTCCGCCCAATCGCCCGCGACCATCTTGGCGCCTTCACAGACGTATGGAGGACAGGGGACTTCAACCAACCAGAAATGATATACTTATGTTTTACAGTAATGGGATTTTATGGGATTTTATGGAATTTTATGGGATTTTATGGGACTTTATGGGATTTAATGAGAAATCATCATGATCTTATGGTGATTTGATGGGACTTAATGGTGATTTAATGGGATTAAATGGAAAAATAATTGTTAATAATGGTGAATCATTGATAATGGTTGATATTGAATGAAATGAATGTAGGATTTACACCCTAGTAGTCAAACATGGCAATAACAAACAATAAAATAATAAGCATAAACAAACCACCCATATGTTGATGGTTTACACCACCTATTTATGGTAACTTTGAGGATGGTTTATTACATTCTCGGGTAATTAAACAGTTGAAAATTCCCTAAAAATTGAGGGTAGCTGGAAAATCAACTATAAATGGAAGATTATCCATTGCCATGTTTGATTACCAAAGGGTACTTGTTATGTCATATTTGATTGCCAGCAAAGAATCTGCTTGGCCATTCTCTTTGGTGCTAAACGTAGGGAATGGGGGAATGATCTACAATAATAAATATCTATATAAGAATCATTTCATTCCCCCATTTCTCAAAATCAGTAAGTACTTTTGGACCCCCAGAAACAGCAGCCAGCTGGCACGAAAAATGCAGTCGTCTTTAGTTCAGCTGCTTGCCGAGGAGCAAAGGCATTGCAATAGCCACCATCTCCTTGCTTTCAGGTGGAAGCTAGACATAGTTTCAGCCCAAAATGGATATTGATGGATTGAAACCCCTGTGCCATCCTGTACCTGGTGAACACCAACATAACTGGTGAATGGAGGACAAAATCTCTCCAAATTGGATGTTTTTGGGTGTTGATTCATCCCCATGGACAAGTTCATCAGGATGAAACATGCTGAAATACCACCTGGAGCTTCGTAGAATGTTCGCAAATGTGTGCTTCCTCAGATGCGAATTAGGAGCACTGGGACATCCTTAATACCCTATGGTCCACATGTGAGTCGTCAACGAAAACATTGGGCCAGCACCACCACAGTGACTTTGAGGATCTTTGAGGTCTATGAGTCTATAGGGATATACCATCTGGTTATTTAACCTAACAGTTCGCCATGGAAAATCCCCATTTTGAAGAACGCTAAACCATCTATTTCTATAAATGGTGATTTTCCATAGTTATGGACCGGTCATAACATTTCGAGGGTAGGCAACCAAAAGTGGCAACCAAAGATGGACCAAGATGGACGGGACCTTTGGAACCACCGGCTGCTCCCATCTCAAGCTAAGTAAAGTACATCCCCGGCTGCTTAAGTCCCCGATGGTTAATGGTGGTTAATGCTGGTTAATGGATATATATCTGGTTGGTGGTTGCTGCTAACCCCTCTGAAAAATATGATGGAGTGAAAGTCAATGGTTGGCAGATGACATCCCATATATTAATGAAATGGAAAATAATATAAAAGCCATGTTCCAGTCACCACCAACCAGCAATCCTTTTCTTGACCAACCAACCCCTATGTTTTTAGACTGTCGCTGAAACCCCTGAGATCACCAAGGTCCACCCAGCTCTCATAGCGCCATGGATCCACGAGACTTTGCCACGGTGCGCAACCACCATGGCGCCGGTCACCGCGCACAGCGCGCACCGGTGTTCTTGGCCAGGCTTGACTGTTGAGTCGCGACCAAGGTGAGAAGGTGATTGGAGAAGATCAACGTGATTATTGCTATTTTTTGGGGGTTCCGGGGTTGCATTACATACATGTTGCAGGTTATATATAATAATTTACCAATATGATCCAATATGTAAATAGTTATCACCATGACCAAAATATAAGTTTCAACTTTAGAAACATTAGTCGCGCATTAATCAAGCACCAATTCGTCTGATCAACTCAATAGGAATTGACTATCAATTTATCAAGTGGCACAGTGATTTCTAGCCTCAAACTGGAGAGTTACCACCATAATTCGGGAGAAAAACTGGAAGATACAGAAAGGGAATGGAACCAACAACCCAAAAAAAAAATCATATCACAGAAATAAAGAATTTGTCAATGTAAGCAAAAACGAACTAAAATCCAAAATCGGCCATGAACCACCCAGCTTTGGGACCTCCTGTCCTATGGCTTCACGATTTATTTCAAAGTCTCGCAACCGCAGCCATGTGCACCACAGTCATTTCTACAACATCTATACATGCGGGGAATATGGCCATCAATACATGCGGGGCTCGGCATAATATCCACCAGGAAATGCACTCAACAAGAATCGGAAGAGAATCACCGTAAAATCCTTGTCCAATGGGTTGCTTACAGTCTTGCGACTGAAACCATGAATATCATCATTGGATATCGTCGGATTATGTGACACGATATCAGCAACTTTCTCTAATCCTGTAGCTGTTTCTATCAACTTACCCTCCTGTAAACTAAGACTTCGATGTGGAGAAGCCACTAGTCGCACTGTCCCAACTCCAATGGACCATCATCACTTTCCCATAGAATTGCTGCTGAAATTCCCCAGGCTTTCCCTTCAAGCAATTCACTATGTATCCAACCATCCAGAATTGCTGATGAATTTTCAGATCTATCAAGAGTCATATCATGTTGGTTTATTGGAAATCCAATGGAAAACACATGGAAAACCAGAGCGGCTCAATCCCACGTGATTTCAACCAACCAACCCCTGAAAAAACCACCGCTCCACGCCTCGTCCGCTGTCCTGGTGGAATCGTGGAACATGGGTGGAAACCACCCAAAAAAAAAGATGGACGGTTCATATATAGTTAATTAACTGTGAATTGATGTTTCTTAACCGGTAACTAGATAGAATAGTTAATCAATATGAAAATCAATATTCTATTGATTTCTGAACTTACTGAGGGATATTAGCAAAAACTGTGAATTGATGAATGATGTTTTAACCAATGTCTATTTTGATTGCTGAACTTACTGAAGCATACTGAACCATCATTTTATATGATTCTATATGATATGAAAATTGGATTTATGATGGTCAACTCAATTTCAATGATTGGCAAGAACACTGATGAAAATATATCACCATAATCGAAGTAGTCAGGTTCCTCACTCTGCTATTGTTTTGTGGCGCTCAATTTGTGTGTTGGTGTACTACCCGCATAGCTGGATGTTTATCGCCCTTATCACCAGACCTTCAAACTATACTCCCATTTTAATTTTGGGGGATGAAAATGAACAAGGTACTTCAAACATAATCATAAGTAAAACCAAAAACACGTTAGACATACGAGTACTACATTTGCCCAAGTTGACCCTATGTTTTTTTCCTAAGCTAAACTATGATTGCCCCAAAAAAATGATCGCTCAACAACAAGTAATTAATGTGGTAAACCCAAAAAATCATAAGACATACCACAAAACATGGATTTATATCGCTAATCAAATCTTGCATCTCCAGCCCCGCCGCAGCAACTCTTTCCTACCTGCCTCTTGTCCCCAGCACGCGGCCGGCCCAGGTTGGTCACTCGGGCATCACTAAATCCAGTGGACAAAACACAAAGTTTTCCGCCTCCAGGGCCTGACAATGCCGTGGAAAGGCGGTTTCCTACAGGATGTGTCCATATGTTTTTCCCGAATGCCACCATGAACGGAGAATATGCAACTCGCTATTTTAGCAGCGGTGTTCTTGAGCCAAAGGTTGGCGTAGCAACTAGTGAGAACCCTATATCCCGTCACCCCTCCTGTACAGAGGCTGGGATTTTCCTAAGCTGATGTACACTCATTCCAAAGCCTTTGCAGCTTCGGCTCTACCATGAGAGTACTCGAACCCCATGCTTTGCATGTGTCTTTCCATCTCATTCGCAGGTAAACCTTTGGTGCACAAATCAGCTACGTTCTGCTTTGTCGGGATCTTCACCAGTTCGAATTCATGTAGTGCAAGCTTTTCTTGCACCCACAGAAAGCGAGTTTGAACATGCCGTGAGCGGCCTAAGCCCTGACGGTTACATGTTCCCAGCGCAGCGGATGAATCTGTGTGCACTTTAAGTTTTGGTTGTAGGCCCCATCCTCGCAAGATCTCCTGTAGCGACATTCCGATGGAAACTCCTCGAACGATCGAGTAGTATTCCGCTTCACCGGAACTCAAGCTGATCGTGCTCTGAAGAGTGCTCGAGGCCTTCACCGTGTGGCGGCCAAAGGTTGCCACAAGTCCACTTGTTGAGCGCCTTGTAAGAAGACACCCAGCGAAGTCGGAGTCCACGTACATGTGGATCGTGTCAGCAAACTTCTGGCGACCAAACTTCAAAAGTACACGTGGTTTCCCTTTCAGAAATCTCACCTAGCGTTTCAGATCCTGAAAGTCAGATTCTTTGGGCTCATGCATTCTTCTTGATAGGCATTTCACTGCCTCCGCGATGTCAGGTCTGTCCTGTGCCACATACGACGCTCTCATCACCAGAGACCGGAAGAAACTTACACGGTCCGGTGTGATGGTCGGGGTGGTCAACTTCAAGTTGGCCTCCGTGGCTGACATTTTCTCAGATGGTGTCTTGACTGGCTTACAGTTTTCCATTTCTAGATCTCGTACCATCTGGTCAACGTGGCGGGGATCCGCCTCATAGGATACAGAGCCTTCCTGCTCGTTGTAGGTCACGATTCGATTGAGCACTGCGAACTGCTGATGCCGTTCTCCAGGACCGATCGATCCATCGACCCGCAGATCATATTTGGACCTCAAGGTGTCCTCAAGGTATTTCTGTCCAGCATCATCAGCAAGCACCACGAAGTCATCTCCGTGTACAAGAACTCGAATACCACCGTAACCTTCATGGTAAAAGCAGGATGGCCAAGCTTGATTCTTGGCAAAACCAGCTCGGATGAGAAGTTCTGTATATGATCTTTGCCAGATCGCTGATGCATCGCGTGTTCCATACATGCTCTTAACGAGCTTGCCACAAAACCCTTCTTGTCGATCTCCTTCAGGTAACTGCACGAAGATATCACGCTCTGCCTCTCCATAGAAGTGAGCGCGTGATATGTCAAGAAGACGAACTTTCAGTGCATTGCCAGACTTGGATCGTCTCGAAGTCACCATAAGCGATAGAAGCAATTTCAGCGATTCCAAAGGCGGCATCGAACTGAAGGACGCATAGTCCGGAATGAAGTCAGCATTGCTGGCCCGTTTGATCTCTCTACAGACCAGACGTGACCTGTAGTTGGGGTGTGTTGCATCCCCTTTGTTTCTGTCAATCCATTTCATGGTGATGACCGGTTTTCCAGACTGTTGGGCTTCTGTGAGTGGAACTTTGATATAGATACCCTGTTTGTGTACCCATGCTAGTTCTTCTTGTCGAGCAGCTCTGACCTTGTCAACATCTAAGACAGCACCGGAGTGTGCGTCAAGCACTGGCTCCACGATGGTGTCATCGCTGTCGGGCAGCTGCTTCCAAAACTCCTCCTCTTCATTGATCACAGGTCCAGCATCGGGTACTGGGCCATGTGAAAGTGAGTGTAGTTCTCCATCACATTCCAGTTGGCGCCTAATGGCCTTGAGAATTGCGTGGACAAGCTTTGGCGGGTATTTCTGGGCAGCTCGGGCTCGTCCATCAACAAGATGTACATGGCGGTGCCAAACTTTGCCTTCTTTGTTTGAACAGCACCCTTGTAGGGTCTGTGCCAGGATTGGAGAGTTCGTGAGCCAGGTAGTTTCTTTCTTCACTAACCCTTCACCTTGGCCATCGGCGGCCTTCATTCCCCAACGGCACATTGGTCCAGTGACCTCATACACCCGTTCATCTGCCCTCAGTCTCTTCACAGCTCTCTCTTCCCACGAAGCGGCCCCTTTAGGGTGCTCATGGTAGAAGTACCTTCCAGCATTCATTTGATGCTCATACGCTGAAACTGCCGTGCGCAGATGTTTGCGACCATCTTTTAGTCTCTGCGCTCGAACTTCAGGTGAAACATTGCCCTTCGCATCCACAATGTTTTGCAGCTTCGAGAATGGCCCACAGGGAGGTGAGCCGCCGAGGAACTCTGGTTTCTCATAGTCAAGCAGTTGAAACAGATCACGAATGTGTTCATCTTTACTCGAGTCCCAGTGAGTTCCATCACCACGCTTTGTCTCCAAGTCAATCGAGAAGCCAGGTGCTAGCCCGACCACTTGGGCTTGTGCAGCCACACGCGGTGGAGAGAAGATCTCAGCAACCTTCCCTTTTGCGATCACATCTTTGAGCAAGGAACACAGATGTAGCATCTCCTGGTTTGTCTCAGGACTTGTTGGTGCAGCGGCAGCACCTTCCGGAACACCAGATGAAGCATCCGGTGCCGGTGGTCCGGCTGACCCTGAAGCCTGAGCTGAAGATTCATTGTAAAGATCTTCAACGTCGACTTGTGAACTCCTTTTCTCTCCTCGGGATTGTTCTTGTTTCTGCCTCTTTGGGCTTCCTTCTCTTTCTTGTTCTCTCTGTCTGAGTTCTCCACGAAAATCGGTGTCGACCAGTGGTTCACCAACAGCCTCACTTGCATCCATTTCCGCATCCAAAGGAACACGGTCTTGCAAGACTGGTTGTTCAACTTCCCCTCCTGGGACAACTGGTGGTGCAGCTTCACCACCTTCTGCCCCACCACCCTCAGGCGGTGCAGCCGCGCCTCTTGGGCGCCTGCCTTGTGCAACTCTCTCTCTCGCTCTTTTGATCCTTTATTGACCTTCTGGAGTCTTGTCAAGTTCGATCTGGATTCTTTGTCTGCACTCAGCATTGTGAGCTCGGCTTGGCATCTCAAGTATTGCTGCTTCACATCCAGGACACAAAGGTGTGTGCCCATGCTTTTCCAAGTCATTCTTGGTGACATAGAGGTTCCTTGGGATCACTTCTTGCACTGCAGGCCTTTCACGAGGCGCTGCAACATCGGGAAGGGCGATCCTCAGTCCACCATGTTCTCGTTCTTGCAACCTCCAAGGAAGGCCACGTAGCGAGTCAAACTGATCATGTTTGAACTGATCGTCAGGTGGGTGTCGATGGATCGAGTTCCCCTTCATGATTCCACGTTCCGTCATGACAAAGACGTCTGAATTTCTGTTTCCAGTTCCAACGTACATCCCAATGGATACCCTTGGAGCAAGGTCATTTCTCTTGCCCCCACGATTGGCCCTCGGCCTATACAGGATGCTTTCACCGAACCTCACAAGCGGAATCCGCCATTTTCGTCCATAGGTCCGCTCAAAAGCGGTCTTTCCATCAGTACCTACTCGGTATCTCGTCAAGAGAAAGGCAGCATGCCGCGGGAGCCAAACCAAAAGTGGATGGCCCGGATCTACCTTCCTTTCCAGCTTGAACTCCAGGTCGCTGAGGAGAGCACGACATTGTCGTTTTATCTCTCGCACTCCCACTTCGATAAACCCATTGGCTTGATGGTCTTCTACTGGGGTTTCCACCAAGTGCACTTCGATGTGGGTCTTTATCTCCTTAACCTTCTGTTTAAGGGATACCAAAGGAGGGTTCACCGTCAGACTTAAGGATTACCTTATTAAAACCAGCATCATCCAAAACTCCCCCAAGCCACGCGATTGCGAACGCATCCGCCCCTTTTCCCGGGAGAACGCTCGCCCAAAATCTCTTGGTCTTGTGGCACTTCACCACAATGCTCGGAAGGGTCGCCTCATCCGCAACCTGGTCCTGGTTCATATAGAAGTAGTCCAGGCTCAGCGTGGGCAACTGCGTTTCTGGCTCATCAAGTTCCTTAGGCACATGGCGATCAGCAGTCACACGTGCCCTTTTGCAGTGCAAGCACCAGCTCCGATGGACAACATGTCCAGTGCTTTCATGTTCGTCAACTTCAGCTTGGGATGGTTGATGTGGTTCTTTCTTCACAATGGCTTTCCTCTGTTCTTCACCGATTTCCAAATCAACTTCATCTTCAAAGGCATCTGCTCCGGCTGAAGCAGCTGGAACATCGCCTGAGGACCCTGCTCCGGCCGAAGCGGCTGAAACATCGCCTCCATCTTCCATGGCATCGGCTCCGGCTGAAACAGCTGGATCCTCGCCAACAGCGTTGATTTGTGGTCTTACTCCTCTTGAGGATGCCCCTGAAAAGGTGACACCCAATAGTCCAACACATAGATGCCTCGGCGATTGTGCACAATGGGCATTGAATCGCCATAATCTCGGATCAGATCTTTCATGGCCTTCGAATAGGCCCGTCCCGCAGGAGTGTTTCTTGGGATCAATCTCCCCGAAGATGGTCCAAGGGCGATGTGGTAGTTCTTGGCGATCTCGGAACCTGAAAGAAGTGGCCGATGCACATCTGCAACTCGGCAATCGATTGGGATCTTGTTGCCAGATTCGTCGTATCCCACCAGCTTCACACTTCCCTGATCTTCGATGGGTTCCGCATTGGCTGCCTTGTAGCTTGCTCCATTGGACTCGCTCCTCGGGTAGTCCTTGGCGAAGTCAAGTGGTACTGCAGTGATGGCAGCACCGGTGTCGATGTTCAACTCTGCTCGTTCCCATTTTCGCCAGTCGTCAGAGGCCCCCAAGCTGTAGACTGCAGCAGGAGCCGATCCAGCTCCACCATCGGGGTCTCCTCTGCCTGGTCGGTCTCGAGGCTCATCAGGCTCTTCGATGTAGACCTCTTCCATTTCATCATCATCTTCATCTGCGTTCACTTCAGTGTTTTCCTTCAGAACCAAGGCTGGTCGGTTCTTCCTCGCCATCTTGCGCGCCACATTGCGGTTGCGATTCTTCTTCACCCTGTACCCAACGCTTCGAACACGCTTGGTCATGGGTTTCTTCTTGGGGTCCTTCTGCAGCAACTTGGCCTCGTCGTCCGGGAACTGCCTCAAGGTTTTCCGCTCTTCCGCTGAAAACTCTATCACTGTGCTCTGACCAGCTTTGCCCACAACCACCGTCTCGATGCCCGCATCCAAGTTGTCTTCATCCTCGATTCCCACTATGCCTTCTGGATTTTCTGGGTTGTCAAAGCGTTCATGCCATTCTTTGTCAAGTCGAATCCTTTCAGCCGCACGTGCCTTGACTCCTCCTCGTCGGTGGACGATTGCACGTCTTCTCAAACGTTCATTTCTCCAGGCCACATTGTGTGCAACACCTTTGGCAATCTCGGCATGGTATCTCGAGTCGTGGAAAGAAGGATCGCTGATGTTCTGCTTTGTGATGTGCGGTGCCTTGACAGATCTAGTCCTCAAAGCCGCTAACATCGCATCTGCCTGGCCATCTCCTGAACCAGGATCTTCTTCTTGGACTTTGCGGATTTGTGAACTCAGCGCAGCCTTCAGCATCTGGACAAGTCGAGAACCTGAAGTCGAAGCTGCCGATGATGCCTTGACAGGTGGTGGTGGCTTCACCTGAGAGCTTTGCCATCCCGGTGGTGGACATGGCGGAGTCTTGGGTGAAGCTACTTGGCTTTGCCATCCTGGTGGTGGTCCTGGTGGAGTCTTGGGCGAGGCTATCGGCTGTTGTGGAGGTGATGCAGGCCATGCTATAGGTGTCGGTGGTGTCTTTGGCAAAGGTGTAGAGCTACGAAGAAGTTCTTCTGGAGTCTGTGGCCCATGCCTCAACCTTCTCCTTGGTGGTGGTGTCATCGAAGTCATTCGAAAGCGTCGGAGTGCTGACTCCGGAGTGACTGGCCCTGATCTGCTTGCTTTGCCTCTCTTTGGTGTTGAGCTCTTTGGACTTCTGCCCCTCTTGGGTCTTCCCTGTGGCGTTCGAGGTGCCTTGGAAGACGCGGACTTGGATGTAGTGGTCTCGTGCTCGGTGACCTCCTCCAGTCGAAGCGACCGAAGGGGTCTTGAGCCACTCGATCCACTCGGTCCATCATAGTCGGGGTCGTCCCACTCTTCCGGCCATGACGCACGTGGGTGAGGCAAAGAAAACCACCTTCTGCGACTTGTCGAGGCTTCCGACTCCTCGGACTCGGGATCGACCTGGAAACTTTCGTCGTCATCCTCGTCATGTGGTGGCCCATCAACACCATAGAGCGTTAAACCATTTGCTGCTTGTTGACCATCGTCGCCATCAGCTGCGTCCCAGTCTTCTGCTTCTGGTTCACCTTGTTCGACATTGTTCACAGATTTGCCTCCTTTGGGCTTCTGCTTGTGCTTTCCGGGGCTGCCTTTGCCCTTGCCCTTGTCCTTATTCTGATTGCTGTTGCCTTTGCCACCCGTCCCCTTATGTTTGGGGCCTCCAGGTGCCCAGCAATCTGCCCGCAGATGTCCTGGGCGTCCGCAGTTGTGACATGTTCTCTTCTCAGCTGTTGCATTTCCCTTTCCAGGTTTTCCTCCAGCTCCCTTCTTGCCCTTACCTTTTCCCTTTGCATCTTTTCCAAAGCTTCCGACATCCATAGGATCGTCCACACGGCCATGTGCGTCGTAGGGCTGGCTGTTCACCACCTTGATCTTGTTGCCGGTGGCATGTTCCACATAGGACTGGATCTCGGACAGCATGGACTCGAACGTCTTGAAGCGATCTCGATTGAGAACGAGATGACGCTCGAGCTCTGCCGGCACCAATCGTTCAATCACGTTGATCTTGATGTCTTCTGCCAACATCGTTCGGTTGCCAGATGCGTCTTTGCGACGTTCATAAAGTCTGATGCTGTCAAGAAGCTTCTCCAGGTTGGACGGCAAATCTTCCATCTTGGATCGAGCCGGTGACAAGATTGCATTGAGGAGAGCGCGTTTGCGACCACCAGTGGATGGGTCGTACCTCCGCGTGAGCTTTCTCCAGCTTTCGATGCCGCATTCCCCGGTGTTCAGCACGATGTCAAAGGGCTCACGCTCTGTCAGCATTAGCAGCGCGTCCCAAAGCTCGCGTCTCAATTCACTGATGTTCGACACCTGGTCAATGGCATCTGCTTGACTCCCAAAAGCCTTGTCGATGTCATCTGCAGTGATTGCATGATCGCAATCTTCGGCCCAAACCAGAATCTCACGAATGTCTTTGCGAACACTTGCAAGATAGGAGGACGTCTTGATTTTCCATGACAAGAATCTTTCGGCTGTCCCATCAAACTTGTCGGGCTTGCCAAGGCCCTTGTTGTCGACCAACCGGACTTGTTCTTTCGATCTAAGGGCGTCCACAAGCTCCTTTTGTGACTGCACCAACTGTGCCAGTGCACTGCCAGGTCCAGCTGAAGCAGCCGAACCGGCACCAAAAGAAGCGACCTGTGCTGTCAGTTCAGCTTCTCGGCCTCTTAGTCGATTGACCTCGGTCTGTAGTTCCTGGAGCGACTGGAGGACCTGTGCCGCTTGTTGTTGGTCCATTGCTAAGACCCTGGAGCGTATCGCTCCGCTACCATGAACGGAGAATATGCAACTCGCTATTTTAGCAGCGGTGTTCTTGAGCCAAAGGTTGGCGTAGCAACTAGTGAGAACCCTATATCCCGTCACACCATGATACATATGCATATATATATATATATATATATATCAGTCAGATATATATATATATATATGTCATATATATATATATATATGTAAGTGAATGCTTTTCGTAAAGCATGTGTTTGATGTTTTTGGGACTGTACACGATTCAAACAGAAAGAAAACACACTCATAATACAGTGATTTCTCCGCATGGAAGGTCCCCTTCAGTCATGGACTGGGCCCGATTTGTGCATATTGCAGGAAAGGCACTTTCCATGAACCGCAATGCTGGACATGCTTTGACTTGGATAGCTTAATGCTTGCTGATCAAATCACCAATTGTGCAGTTATCTTATCCATCGTTTTTAGTAAAATCCTCAAGTCGTTACCTTCCCATAGTTTGATGCCTAAGGGCTGTGAGTTTTGATGTTTTTCTATGAAATATGTGTTTTTTTATTTGTGCCGTTCAAAAACAATTTCTTGTTGGTGGAGCCCACTTTTTGCTGGTCAAATCCCAACTCTCTCTGAAGAGACGAGTTTCCATGGCTTCTTATAGTAATCTGCATCCCTCTTTTGGAGGGTTTGTTACCCTCATGTTCCGATAAAATAACAATGTCCCATGGATCCAAAAATTATTAGAAACAATAATCTATATTTTCCCTCCAGAAAGAGGTTTGCTACCACAAATAATTCCATAAATCTCATGAAATCCGATACAATCCCATAAAATCCCATAAAATCCCATAAATCCCATTTTATGTTACCATAATGTCCCATAAAATAACGATTTCCCTGTTCACGTTCCTCAAGAGCCCTATCTTTTAGTCTACCCGGGGCGCCTCCTGGACCTTGTGCATGGGGTCACTGGCCTCCTGTCAAGTCGGCAGATGGGTATCTTTGCTATAACATTGATACCTGTTATCATCACAGGATATAGATAGTTGTATAATATATATATATGTAATTATATGTTATATGTATATATATATATCCCTACCTCACCAACCACCATGTCTGAATCAAACCCCATATTCTTTTCATGGTTTAAACCTGTAGTTGCTCGTTAGACTCGAACTCAATCCCCTAAAACTCGGGCTTCAGTGTTAAACATCAACTTCATGATGGCAAAACCATGGTTTTACCTACGTTTTAAGATAGATGTGCAACCATGATTTCACCATGATTCTGGGATATGTTTAACATTGTTTAACCCTATTTGGGATATTTCACCATGGATATCTTTATTTCATGAAACCCCTCTGGTAATTTTACATAGCTATGGAAAATCTTTATAGTGGATTTTCCCATTAAAAATGGTGATTTTCCATAGCTATGTTAAATTACCAGAGGGTAACCATGTTTAACCCCCAGAATTCATAGGTCATTCCTATCGCCATCTGCAGCTCCTCGGAACGGCACAGGCCCAGCACTGCTCCACCGCTGCCGGGGAACTTCACGGCACAGTTGCAGCGCCTGCCGGTGATAGAAAGAATGACTTGTTTCATGAGTTTTAAATATGTATGTATGTGTATGTATGTATATATATATATATGTATATACATATACATAATATATATATATATATATGTATATATATATATATACGTACATATATATATATGTACATATGTAGGGATGTACATGTTTACAACTATATTATGCAGATTTTACATCCCACATCTTCGGACTTCGCCCGCGCCTGCAGAGTTCGATCATCTGCAAGTTCTTCGCCCCGAGACATGCGTCTCCATAGATTTTCCTTCGAAAACTGAAGGCACCAATAAATGACCAATAAATAGGAGGAAAAATATGTTTGGAAAACATGGAAAGTCAATAATTATATGAAAAATATTGAAAAATATTGGGAAATAGTTATCAAACCAGGTCTTATCAAGTAAAAAGTCTCTAGCGCCGCATGATGTGTTTCTGTCTTGTGTTCAGTCAACAACAGCTGCTTTCAGGAAACAAACCCACTTTAAATGGATACATCAAATCTTCAATGAATAAAATCTCAAAATCTCATTCTAATGGATAAATCTAGCATTCATTGTGTCCATCTAGTTTAGGCCACATGTTTTTGTGCAGACCTTCATAGTTAGTAAGTGAGTTAGTCTACCCCTGTCAATTCCGTACGGCAAGTAGGGCAATGTCAAATTAAAACTGGGTAAGTAAACAAACCCTTCAAGCTCTTATCTCCACCATCTTCATGGTCTTTCCCCCCGTTTCCCCATATTTTCCCATGGGGTTTCTCCATGTTTTCTCCCGGAAAATCATGGTATGAAAACAGCGTCCCCAAATCGTCCCCAGGTCCGTGCGGTCCTCCGCAGGTTGAAGTTCTGGTCCATTAGATCCGCCAATGCGCCGTGGTCCTTGCTCTCGATGGCCGCACGGGCCTGGAGCACCAAGCACTTGGATGGCGTGGATCGCTGAGCCAGTGATACCCGACCTGGTAAACATACAAGACTTTTAAAAGCTATAGAAGCCATGGCCCATAGAAATATATAGAAATAGATGGTTTACCGGACTTAAAAATGGTGGATTTTCTATAGCTATGTGAAATTCACCGCTCTTTGATGATTATGGCAGGTTATGGCAAGTGATGGCAAGATATGATAACTGGTTGGTGGTTGACAAAAACCCCTCTGAAAAATATGAAAGTCAGTTGGGATGATGACATTCCCAACTGAATGGAACAGTAACATTCATGTTCCAAACTTCCAAACCACCAACCAGGTACTTTCTGGTAAATTAACGACCCTGGCATGACTTGGGGGTTGGAAGATTAGTGAAACCACGAAAAATGAGTGATTTTCAGGGTCTATGTTAATTTAAGGGATTATGGAATATCACAGGTACATAACTGGAGTTACCCTCTGGAAAATTAACAGTTCGACCCTGAAAATAACTCATATTCAGTGGAAACTAATCTTCCAACCCCTGTCTGCCAGGGTCTATGTTAATTTACTGGAGGGTAATATATTCCATCTAGTCCATCTATATATATATATATATATATTCTAAATATATGATATATGATATAGATGATTTATCACTGGAAAGTGGAAGATCAAGCACTTCTAATGTGGTGTTCAAGAAAGTTGATATTCCATTTTTCAGTCATGAAATGATATGTGGATTAATTACTCAAGAAAGCTGATGAACAACTTTCATCTTGGCATCTTGGCACATGTTGATATGAATCTTGTCATTGTGTATTATCTCAAGGGGCTTATTCCCTGTAGATTCCCCAGGCCCCCGGTCGGTTTTCCAGGGATCATGGGGGAACGGGCCAGAGGATTTGAGAATGTTCGCAAAAGCATAAGTTATACAATGAACAGAAATAAAGATAGAAGCTACAAGAAGCCTAAGGATAGGATTTCGATAAACTTGGGGTAGAGCAAATATAATCTAAATTAAGATCAATGCTTCAGCTAGCAACAAGTGTGGCTTTATCGGCAAGCTGGCTTTTATAATCATTCACCCGCTTAAAATGTGGATTTTGGGGCAGTTCCCCTTACTAAGCATCCTCCATGGTCTCGTCCTGCTGATTTCGGTGTATCTTGAAGCAAAGCCCAAGAACCCATGTGATCCACAGGTGCATTTGTCTGGGTGAGTACGGTATAACAAGCGCACCAGTTGAGTGAGGAACCAATACAATCACCCATCTTGAGCGTGAATATCCACACTTGCTTTGGAGCCAACCCATGTCCATCTCTTTGTTGTTACAGGAACTTTGGACAAGATGGCTGCCCTTAGTAGGAAGCTTCCGGAGAGTACACTTCCAGGGTACCCCAAGTCTTATGATGAATCATCATGTTCCCTCTTAAAAAAATATGTTTTCAGGGTTAATCCCTGCGTTTTCTGACACACCCAAATGGCATTTGTGTTGAGTGTACATTCCATTCTACTTCCCATGATCTTACATCCTCCTAAAACGGCAATGAATCATCAACGGTATATAACAATATAACTATGTGAGGATATGGCCACTATCATCCATTATCCACTGATCACCATAAAATAGGTTGGAATAGATTACTGGTTGGTGGTTTCAACCCCTCTGAAGAATATGAAAGTCAGAGTCAGATTGGATCATCATCCCAACTATTGGGAGAAATAAAATTCATGTTCCAAACCACCAACCAGATACGTATATTCCCACATAGAATGGTATAAACACACTATTCCAATGTGTATATATATATATATGTGTGTGTGGGGCTTATACTATATAATATGTATATTACCATTGGTATCACCATTCTTCCCATGTTAAGCCCCACATGAATCGTCCGTCCGTGACCGTACCTTCGAGGCCAGTTCTCCAAAGGTCTTCATTGCCGAGACGACCTGGCAGCATGGGAAGATTGTAGAATATCTTGAGAAATTGGAGGATTATTATTATATGAATATGATGTATTATATACTGGTTGGTGGTTGACCTACCCCTCTGAAAAAATGATGGAGTGAAAGTCAGTTGGGATGATGACATTCCCAACTGAATGGAATAATAAAATTCATGTTCCAAACCACCAACCAGAAAAAAAAAATATATATACATAATGGTGCTTTAAATGGACATTATAATCATTATATAAATGAATAAATCCCGTCATAAAATGGCTATTGTCTAGTACCGAACATTACAGTACCATGTGGGCCTATTGGCACCCCGTGGAGCTACGCATCCATGTTGCAATCGCGTCTGCACTTCTAAGGCAAAGTCACGCTGATTTTCCTCTTCTGGGAGCCTTCATGGCTGTCACCTTGTGTTTTTTTGGACTCACGCAACTCTTCCTGTAATTCACATGTTCCAGACTGGAACAATCACTCAAAATTCTGCCATTGGCATGGCTACCACATTGGTAACCTCGGAAACAATCACGCTCATTTCATCTTCAGGCAACATTTGGCAAGGACCAAACCTCAACTCTTCGAGCTTCACTATGCCCATTGTCCACGTCTGTAAGCCCACCGACAAGGACGACCCTGTTTGTTTGACGAGAATCTGATGCCTCCACAGCTGCCATCCATGCCCTGGGTTCGGTCATGAGCCTCCCGTGCATGTGCTTGCGCCAAGCAAGCAAGGAGGACTTGTTGCCGGCATTGGTTGAAGGCAAAACCTCGACATCTTCCAAGGACTGGTACCTCCCTAGATTGCCATTCCAAGTAAACCCTCCAAACACCAGCAGCTGACCATGGGACAGCACCATGCTGGCACCTGCCCGTGGAACACTCAGAGACTCCTCCAAGGGTATCCATCTGCCGGAGAACGCGTGCAAATACTCGGCTGTGTTAAGAGGAGGAAAAAGACTCACCTCACAACCCCCAGCAACAAATATAGAGCCATCAAGTGTTGCAACTGCTGGCCAGATCCTTGCTTCGCGCATGTTGGGTGTTTGCCTCAGCTCGTTTGTTCGGACATTAAACGCTTCTGCCGAAGACAATGAGGACAACTCATAGTGGTGCGGGGCTTTCTGCTGATACAGGGCACCACCGATGGCATAGAGCCACTCATCATTCAGAACAACAGCAGCCAGCCAAATCCGCGATTGAGAGAGTTCTCCAATGCTGCGCACCTGTTCATTGGCAAGGTCAATTTCATGAATCCTCTTGGAGCCCGAGTAGGAACAAACCCCTTTCACCGGACTCAACCCTCCAACCACAAAAATACGCTCGCTGCTAGCCGCCAGTGCAAAGCTGGCCATCTGCGGAAAGCTGATCCCAGAAAGCTCTTCCCAAGCGTTGTGACTGTATTTCAAGATGTGCGGTTCAACACCTTCACAGGAAGTGGACCAGCCGTCTGCGTGATTATGCCACCAAAAAAAATGCCCCTGTGTAGCAACGTACGTGGTCCCTTGCAGGCTGACAGCAGTAGACACATGACTTCCCGAGGGAAGCTCGCGCACCTCTGTGGAGTAGATCTCTGGAACCACCATGTTGCCTCAAGTAACAGGATTGATTCGACTGAATGAAACATGGAAACAGAAACAGGAAACTAATCAAGATATATGAGGACGAATCTTTAGCTTAGTTTGTATTGTTCCAAAATTCTGTTGGACACAGAAGTGAACCTATGCGATTCAGATACAAACCCGCACTATAGATAATCCGTGTGCATCAAAAGTCTGTTCATGTCGGAGCAAGTGGCATTGCAGCTCTCCTCGGCAATATTTCTTGATTATATACTTGGCCAAATGCTTCCTCTTCTCATCAATGTCCGCATTGAAATGGTTTGTGGTTACAAGTGTTAGGATCGATTCAAATGTTACCTCCAATGGCATCGGATCTTGCACTGCTGCTCTGTGCCACTGTGCCAAGGTAATGTCCGGTGGACATACTCCGTGAGCGCCAACGCAGACATCATATTTGGCCATCGCTTGATGCCTGATGAAAGAACCAGAATGTCCCTTAGCTGACACACTATCATCGGCTTCTGCATGTGCAAACTTCAAATCTGCTTTCACCGCGGCTTTCAAATCGAAGCCACCTCTAAGTTCCTTATTCAGTGCCTTCTCTTCAAATTGTCGAAAGCGACTGACACGAGTTCCCATGTAAATGTCTTTGCTGAAGTGTGTTCCCCAGTCATCAACGAATTGTTCATATGCCACATCCCCTTGGTCGTAGTTCTCAGGCATCTTAGGCAGTGCTTCAACAGCGGCCCGGAACTCTTTGGACAACTGAGTACCTCCTTGCACCACTGCATGGTATACATTGCACACAGCGCTGCTCCAAGTGAATCGGAAGTCTTTTGCCTTTCGGTTGATGAACCCAAATTCTGCAGTTTGGGTGAATGAAAAGCCAGCTCCGAAGTCATCAATGAAGGCTCCAGCACTGAACTGTGCCTTGAGCTTGCTCTGAAAATCATATCCTGTGGCAATTTCATCAACTTCCACTTCCATGGCATCAGCACACTCTTCGGCCGGGATCACATCCGCCCCACATGACTCGGAGTCCATGTTGAGCTCATACACTGGACGAACCTTCCAACCAGGATCTCCAATATCTCCTCCAAGAGATGTGAGGTCACCCCTGCAAAAAGCAGCTGAGGTCAGTTCAAGACTCCTTTACTTGGATGCGCATCCACCGCAGTTTGATGATAATTCTGGCAAGTGATGGCAAGTGATGGCAAGATATGATAACTGGTTGGTGGTTGACAAAAACCCCTCTGAAAAATATGAGTTCGTCAGTTGGGATGATGACATTCCCAACTGAATGAAAAGTAACATTCATGTTCCAAGCCACCAACCAGATAAAGTCATGCACATCCCAGTTTACAATATCTAAAATTGTTTATTGATATCCTACCATTTCTTACCACAACCGCCTCACCCGGCCCTCCTTCCATGGTTTTGCTCCACCACGGCTGAGGCATTCCCTTGGCCAAGTCGTAAGCCATTCCGAGGTATTTGATGTTGGCATATTGGCATCGCTCCTCCCCATGGTCAAGTGGAAAAAAATGCGGCAGAAGGGAGCGAGTGTCAGTCTGCCATGGATGTTTGCTCCTTGCTGTTCTGAAGAGAGCAGTTGTTCTTTCGCACTTGAAAGTTTACGCACGTGTAACTATGTTAAGCCATTTTAAGGCGCATGCCATATCTATATATATATATATATACAGTTGTTACAGTCATCCTGGAATACAACATACAAACAACTTCACCTCTGAGATTTTGGAAGCAGCGTCAGGGGAGGCAAAACCCTCACTGAGACCCGCCATAGTTCACTCACTTGCAGCCACCTCAATCCTGCAAGTAGGGGTATATAACATCTATTTAAATAAATATATATATATATATAATTATATCACAAATATTATGTATAAGTACCATTAATCATTATAAGTTATAAGTGCTCTGTTGTACCTTTCATCCATTCCAAGATGCGATCCGCACCTTCGTTGCTGGCACACCTCCAAGGTGGTGCCAGTCCAGGAGTTCGTTGGTCGCGGGTGCCACTTTGCCGGTCAAGCCACCTGCAGGGATGGAGATTCCTACGGCTACAACCAACCGAAATTGTCCGTTTTGGATGTGCAAAATAGAACCACACGTGTTCAAACAAAACAGGTTTAACCTGATTGACAAAATAAGTGTTCCCATGTTACACATGCTTAACAAAATGTACGTTCAACATCGTTCAACTTGATATGAAACACATACGAACAATGTCTCAAATACCAATTCATCTTGCGGATGTTCATCCTGTAACTGCAAACACTCCAGGTAAAAAAATGCTTGCAAAAGAAGATACTCTCCCCGTCTGCCCGTCTTCCAACATTGGAAAAGGTGCTGTCAAAGGGGTTTAACTACCAAGATCTACCGACCCCACTGATGATTTCACATGTCAATGGCAAATCACCATTTCAGTGAGAGTATCACCTAATATATCACCTATAAGTCCCTATAGACATATCATTTCTATAGTACTTTTTCCAGTGCAATGTTAGATATATGCTGGTTGGTGCTTGACCTACCCCTCTGAAACATATGAAAGTCAGTTGGGATGATTATCCCATATATGAAATGAAAACAAAAATATTCCAAACCACCAACCAGTATGACATCGGGATACATAGGGTAGGCCAGAAATGGCCACCTTTGGTTCGTTTGAGTCGCTTGCCTCTCCACGCCATGCCCTGCATGACCGCCATGGTGGCCAGGGCCAAGAAGCCTGCGGATAGCCTAGGCGGGTGAAGATGACATGGGAATGGGTACAACTCGGACCCATTAGTGAATGCTCATGTTTTATGATTAAGATTGCTTAGTATCTAATTTAGGTCCACTTGGGAACTGTGAAACCAATTATTTCGATCTATTTTGGCGGTCTATTTTGGGGTCCAGTAATTTTGACTCATACCCACACGCTGGAGCGTCTACAAATGTCTACGCTATATGTCAAGGAAAATGACATGCCTCGTGTGTTGCATAAGCTACTAGGCTGTCTTGTGAGTTTGGAGAGCCTCTTCCCACCAAACGAAAAGAAAGTGAAGAGATGTTCGCAGCCAGCAATTTTCATCGAATCCACATCCACCTGATGTTTGCATCTCACAAGATGATAAGTTCCACAGTCCCAAATTGCTTGAAGCATAGGTTACGATTGGCAACTCCGTTTCACAGTTCCACCTAGCAGAATGCTACAAAAGTCATCAGATTTGAGATGATCATCCCGTCATGAATCACCAGCGATCTGCCGAGGAGCAATGAAATGACCCACATCGTCCACTTCCACTTCCGGCCACTTCGAAGATTCGAAGGAAGCAACGATTGCGAGGCATCCAACATTGTCACACTAAGAAGGATAAACTTTATCTTCTATCCCTTGGTGAGCCGAATTGACCGCAAGTTCCGGCAAGCTGTTGGAACGCAGGCTACAGGGATTGGGTTGATTGATATGTGCGGTTTGATGGCGATAGTGACTGTGGAATCAGCTGAAGGGCAATGCTCAAGTTGCTTCAATTTGCAACTCAAGAGGATCAAGCCAACTAAGCAATGTTGAGAAAGTCATGACAGACTGACCCGAAACATGGAAAGAGCACCTCGCTTTCTCCGGCGTCCCAACGCGCACGCACGTTGGAGTGGATCTGGCGACGGAACTGGGGAACGAGTGGGATGCTGCCACTGTTTGAAAAGGGTCAAGGGCTCTTGTGGATCCTCAACGTATTCGAGTTGTACCCACTTCTATATCTGTTGTTCTTTCATATTATGTCTTAATTTGTCGCCATCAGTTAGTTGTAGAGTTCATCCTGGTGCCTACCTGAAATCTTGCAAACGCAATCCTACGAGAATCTCGTGTTTTGCAGCAAGTCAGAGAAGGTACCATCTTGTGAACCACATCTCTGTCAGCTATAGTAGAAGCAGATGTTGTGAAAATCAGCAAACCAGTGACCATCGAGTTTCAACCCTGAGGACCAGCGCACCCTCACAACACCCCTGACATTTGCAGTGTTCTAAAATCACACCCTGGCTGGTGGATTCAACCCCTCTGAAAAATATGAAAGTCAGTTGGGGTTATGACATTCCCAATATATGGAAAGTCATAAAAGCCATGTTCCAAACCACCAACCAGCACAAAATATGGTCGTCCGACCACCGTGCCTTCCCGGAATCCGAGGGATCCGCCTGAGGGTTCAGACAACCACACGGTGAAACATGGCCAAATCCCACGTTTCGGTCACGTACCGATGAGTTCGTCCAACCATGCAAAATGGATGAAAATGGTGGATTTATGCCCAATGTATGGCATTTAGTTAGGGGAAAATAGAGGAAAATAGGGGAACATAGGGGAAATATGCGGAAACGATGATTAGCCAGTGATTGTTAGATCATCTGAGCTTTTCCAAGAGTTTCTGGCTGAAAAATCCCTCAGTGAAACAGCCATTGTAAGTTTTGTTGAGCAAATCTGCGGGAAAATGAAATATTTGAGGCAGCTGGGAGACATCCTTTTTTATAACTCACAAGTTGTTTTTTGCAACATACAAGCAGAACAAATCCAAGATGAACATCTTGCATGAAGCAAGGTGTCTACTAATACTAAAATCTACCTTATCGTTGATTCATGTTGTTTCATGTCAGGTATGTCCACGAAATCCGAAATCCCCCATGAAATCTCCATTTCAAGCATATTGAAGCTGGATATGTCCATTGGATTTGATCGACTGGATCAATCCCTAAATAGAAAACCCCTTTGAAAAATCCCCCTGTCTTTCCATCAGAGGAAAAACCCGCGCCTCATAGGCGATGAAGAACGGCAACGAGGAGAGCCAATCAAACGAGCTCCGGGAGAGTCGCTCGTACCTGGTGCGGCTGACGAGTGGAGTATGGCGCCCATGGCGTTGGAAACAAGCCGAGCGGAAACCAGATTGTTGCGATTTATATGGGATTTATATGGATCTTTATAGGATTTATATGGTGATTAATGGGATTATATGGGATTTACATGAAATTTATAGGGTGAAATTTATATGGGTTATGCAAAAATCTATGGAATCTATGGTTTCCTTGGAGTTGGAGGGTGGTTCTTCTCAGAATTGTCACATCAGCTTCATGACAGTTTTTTAGGTGACCTTCATGTCCCAACATCCGTGAGTGCAAAAATGCTGTTGCGGCCACCAATACTATGGGGCTGTAGCATGTCACCGAAATCACCTTGTGACCCTTGGAGACTCCCATGGAGGATCTTGCTGCACCCACATCCCGAGGCCCTTTTGGTGCCTGCCATAGCCCTTCTCCTGCGGGTCTCCGTAGACTGTGCATTGTCCAATGGGGACTAATGGGGACTCATTGCCCAATAGTCTGTGATTGGGGAAGAGTGCTCAAAGTGATCTGTGCTAAGTGAGACAATTTGTAAGTGCTTTTATGCAAACCTATAGACTATTCCCTAATCACTGTAATCACAGCTTGTCTGGAACATGCTGGAAATATGTGTTTGACTGTGGCACGATCTACCGGAGAGGAAGAAGACAACTTGCGGCTCTCAGATTCATTAATCGAGGTTTTTAAAAGGAAACTTGGGAAACATGCCAACTTTGAACGGTTTCCGTGCTTTTATGTTAAAAAAAAAACCTTTTTCCACGGCTACTCGGCTACTATATCCATATGTTCTACCCCCACGTCTCGTGCTTGGTTGCATTCCACATCAGCCAAAAAAAACTAGCTTGTAGGCAACTGCTCTGGAAGTGCAAATTCAGATATTTTTAGTGGTTCTTCTGGTGCATCATTCTATTCTGGTGCCCAATTTTCGTACTGTAATCACAATTATTGCCATCAACTGACATTGTTTGTATTGTACAGATCCGTTGATGTCTTGGAACATCTTGGACACCCAGTCGTCAAATTGGCAAAAACGAGAATAACTACGGTAGTTTCTTAGAATGCAATCGGTGTTGCTTAACCAACAAACTCCAAATCCCCGCAGTGAAACCATCCCTTTCGTTCCAATGAACGGTAGCCACTGACCTCACGTTCGACAGCGTCCAGATGCCGGTCCTTCATGTGCTGCGCGTCGAAGTCCATAAAGACCAGACCCTGATAGACCTGCCGATGGGTCGCTTGCGCCAAGATCCCAAAAAAACGCTTGTAGGGTAGAAGCCAACAATGGGGGATTGATGCAACAAAGACACCATCATTGATGGGCAGATCACCAACTTCAATGGGCAAATGAAGTTGGGGATGGTCTCAACAAGCAGTGGTTTGGATTAGCCAAGAAGGAACAATCATTGAGATTTGTGGGGTAGAATCCTTTTGGTTGATCAAACAAAAACAACAATCATAAGAAGATAAATATGGTGTATACTATTTGGTGATGACTAACATAGCCATGGAAAATCAACATAGAAATAGATGGTTTACCGTTCTTAAAAATGGGTGGATCTTTCCATGGCTATGTTAGTCATAACCAGAGGGTTACTTGCGACAAAAATGAGGTCAAACCAACCAAACAATGGTCAGATAACGTAGCATTTTTTACCAAGCACTTGCTGAAGAAAAACTGGTCAGTGGTCACTCAGCTCATCCCGCCAACATGCTCGACACTTGGATCACTTGGGCACTCAAAGCGATTGGGGGCTGGAAGACAAACATACGTTCGCTGTATAATGTCAACCCCGGATTTTGCTAAACCATGGTTTATTAATTAGGGGGGTACTACTCCAATAGTCATTTCATCTAATACTTACTGTAAATGGTACCCTCCCAATTAAACAGCCTAGGGCCTAGGGGTTTATTAATCCAGGGTTGACATTGTTGCTGTATGCTGTATGTCAAAACCGCCTGAATGCATGTACACCTAACAACCTGGTATCTCCTCTGAAATTATGATCCGACGTGACCGAAAGAGTCAGACATCTCAATTGCAACAGTGCCTGACCCATAACAAGAAGCAATGGGGGCACCATCCTCCAATGGGAAAACCCTCCGTTATGATTATGCAGAATTTGTCAGTCATATTTTGTCTATCATTCTAACTGACCAATTTGAACGATTTCTTGGGTCGTACCTTATTTGCAATGATTCAAACTGAAATCGAGTGAGGTCGGTTTGAAAACAGAACTTCTATTGTCATCGCATCATTCATTGGGTCCAAAAACAAAAAATAAGTTCATAAACCAAATGATCATTATGACAAAACCATCTCATTAATTGTCCAATTCATCATGACAAATTCATTCACAAACCAGAAGCGACGCAGCCAGGCCTGGACCACACGATCCTGTAGGCCAGCCTGACTGACAAAGGGGCTGACTTTGGTTGTTGGTTTCGGCAGCATCCTGTACTTACCCTCTGAAAATGGTGATTTAATGGGATTTTATAGTGATTTAATGGGATATTATTGGTACTTACCCTCTGGTAACTTAACAGTTTGCTATTGAAAATGGCCATTGAAAGTTCGTTGATGTACCCATTAATAGCATAGTGGATCTTTCCACAGTTATGTAAACGTTTACCAGAGGGTAAACATGCCAATGGACTTCTTTAACAGGAGACTCATCTTATAATGTCAACCCCGGATTAATAAACCATGGTTTATGAATTAGGGGGTATTCCCCCAGTCATGATTTGATACTTTTTTATGGTACCCTCCCAATTTTCAACAGCCGTAAACGGGCTTTATTAATCCAGGGTTGACATTACTACCAGAAGGTTCTCAATGTTCCTTCCGATGACCCGACCTGAAACTGTCCTCAAGTGTTGATCGACCTCTAAGCCCGAGCTGCACATTCAAATCAACCTATCACTGTCATCGAGGAAAATCCCCGGGAAACGTGGAAAAGTGTTATTGTAGATCTGAAGAAATCAAAGAGACAACAACAAATACAACATCCCAGTTCACCAGTTCATTCTTCTTGTAGAAACCAGTCATATCATCCTTTTCCTTTGGGTCATCGGCCTCTTCACCCCCCCTTTTTCCAGCTGGCCGTCCAACTGCTGTTGTTTCTCCGACCCCCAGCAATCATTCGTCCCAGCCACAGCATTTCCTAGAACTGGTGAATGGTATTTTGACAATAATTCTTTATTTTCACTTGTAAACACAAGGGTTTCCTGTAAACTGTCCTTAAGCCAACCAAATGATTTTGTGATATATCCGGTTCTGGAAGGGTTGCGCCAACACGGAAGTGACTTCAAGTCCCCAAGTGTCTTCATGTTCATCGAATGTCCCAAGGCTCCTCTGTACTTGCTGCTCACTTGTACTCGTCTCAACTGCTTGTAGATCTTTCTATCTCATGATATCTGCATGTTTCTTGATGGTGGATTCCTGCCCTTTCAATTCGACCCGTTTCTTCATGGTTCTACACCTCCCCAACCAAAAAACACACCATCCCTCATTGCCAATCTCGGAGAATTACCCTGCAATGAAAAGAACATTGAGGTAGTAGATGTCTGTATATGTACCTACATAATCCCATATGTATATATATATATACACATTCTATATATACATATATACATTCTCTATATATATATATACATTCTATCTATCTATCTATCTATATCTATCTATATATATATATACATTCTATATCTATATGTATGTATGT